CCAACCTTACACAAAGAACACTTCTGCAAGGACATCCGCCAGCAACTGACTGTTCAATCTTGAACTGACACCACCCTTGTTATTGATCCTTGAACACTTTTTTAAAAATATATTTTTTTAATTTATTTATTTTTATGCAGTGCTAAGGATAGAACTCGGTGCCTCACACATGTTAGGCAAGTACTCTACCACTGAGCTACAGTTCCAGCCCCTTTGAGCAGTCTTATAAATCCTGTGGCCAAGGATTCTTGTATCCTGATATGGTGTAATCCTCCTCCTGTGCCTTTATAAACTTCCCCTTGCCTCAACTCCTTGGAATTTCACATATGCACATAGTTGACTATGTGCTCCTACTGCAGAATGCTACTGCTCCCAAATAAACTTACTAATCTTTGCTGAATTTTTCTTGTATGTTATTTAGGTTGACAGAGGGAGGGAACTCATGGCCATGGCTGGGAGAAAATACTTACAAATCATATATCTGGTAGAGGACTTGTATTCAGAGTATATTTACTCAAAAGAAAGAAAGAAAGAAATTTTTACATAAATAAAAAATTTGAAAAAAAAAAAACATTTCTCCAAAGAAGATGTGCAATTGACCAATAACTACATGAAAAGATGCTCAATGCCATTAGTCATCATGGAAATAATGCAATCAAAAGCACAAGATACCACTTTTAATCCACTTGGATGACTGTACTATACTCAAAAAGACAGAAAATAACATGCATTCATGAGGATGGGGAGAAATTGGAATCCTCATCCATTGTAACGGGGAATGTGAAATTGTGCAGCCACTTTGGAAACAGTCTGCAGTTCCTCAAATTATTAAACATAGTTACCACATGACCCAATAATTCCATGCATGAGTATAAAATAGGCAAATCTATGGAGACAGAAAATAGATCGGTGGTTGCTTAGTGCTGGGGGTCGAGGAAGAATGGGGCAATGGCTAATGGGTAGAGTTCCTTTTGGGGGCAAAGAAAACTTGGTTTAAAATTGATTGTGGTAATGGTTTAAAAATCCTATAAATACACCATAGCCAAGCACCACATAATGACGTTTCAGACAATGGTGGGCTGCATGTATGACAGTGGCCCCAGGAGGGTGTAATTGAGCTGAAAATTCCCACTGCCTCGTGATGTCATCATATTATCGTGTGATTCAATACTCATGTGCTTATGTGATGCCGGTGTAGACAAGCCTACTCCATTGCCAGTCATATAAAATAGAGCACGTAATATTAACAACAGTAGTCAATACTTGCTAATGATAATAAATTTACTGATTTACGTATTTAACATTCTATACTTTCTTGGTACTGGGGATTGAACCCAGGGGTGCTTAACCACTGAGTCACATCCTCAGCCCTTTTGTGTTTCATTTAGAGACAAGGTCTCACTGAGATGTTTAAGGCCTCGCCAAGTTGCTGAGGCAGGAGAATCACGGCTTTGAACTTGTGCGCCACTGTGCATGGCTCTATACTTGTTATTATTATTTTCGAGTTTATTCCTTCTACTTTTTTTTTTAAACTTTGCTGAAAGTCGTGTGTTGTTTCATAGATAGCCGCCATATACATCTCTCATTTGCCAGGTCTCCCAATTGCATCCAGAGCCACACTGAATGATTGACCTAGGTTTGTGTAGTACGCTCAATGACATTCATACAAAGACAAAAATCATCTAATTTTGCATTTCTCACAACATATGATGTGGTTGTACTTAACACCATTAGACTGTTCCCTTTAAATGGGTGAATTGTGCAGTATGTGAGTTATAGGTCAATAAAGTTTTTTTAAAAACTCACAAAACTAATGGAGTTATACCATGCAAGCCATGAAATCATAGTGATAACAGAGGGAGGGAGGGAAGGAGAGGCTTATGGCAGATCCATTGGTCACTGAGCTAAGGTATCACCTTGAAGCTCTAAAAATCAAAGAGGAATGATGCTGCTTTTCTAGTATGAACTATACTGCAAGATAATCAAGTAATCCTGCTGATGAGGGGAAGTTCTTGTTGTAGAGAATAGTTCCACCTATCCAGCAGAAGGGATAACAGAATCACATCCAGAGTGAAATAATGGATTCTGACAAAGACCATCAGTGGATACTGAATCATCAATAGGAATGTATAGCAGAGAAGCCAGATGAACATACCTGTGACCCCAGGCCAGTCTCAGCAAAGCCAAAAGTGGAGGAACCAGCCATTGCAGAACTCTGGACAGACGCAATGTGATGTACACTGTGTTGCCCATGAAGTAGGTTTGCCCAAAAAAGCCTATTAATGCTGAATCTAATCAATCTAGTTTTTAGTCTAGAGTAATTACAGGGATAAGAAGAACAGCTAACTACTACCATGAGGATTCAATGAGCCAAATCTAGGAAGTGTGGACATTCTTCAGGACAATCTCCCTAGCATTCAACAAGCCAATGGCAAATGGCACATGGGGAGTGAAGTCTGTTTTAGATTAAAAGAGATGGAAGAGAACCAATTACAAAGTGCAAATGTGTTTGGTACCAGTTCAGTAACTCAACTGCAAAAAGACATTTTCGAAACATACCCATCCCAGTGGACTCTCACGGTCACCCTGAGGCTTAGTAAAGTGGTTATGTTCAATCCCATCTCAAATGGATGAAGGAGATTCCTTCCCTAAAGGATTCCATTCATCAAATCTCATTTATCAATTATAATAAATTTAGTTTAAAGATCTTAATTGGCTTTGAGATTCCAGAATCAGGTAACATATCATAAAATATAGTAAGTGTTCCAGTGAGCTCAGCCGAAGGGGCTGATTTTTATAGACAAAGGTTGAAGAAAGCAGAAACAAAGAATGAAAAGTGGATTGATCATTTCAAAATCACATTTTTTTGTTTCTTTTTGTAAAGCAGAGATGGGGAGCAGAACAATAGGAAAGCAAATGGTTAATATCATGTTACTTCAATTATTTTTAAAATTGTTTTTGTTCTTTTTTTAATATTTATTTTTTAGTTGTATACAATACCTTTATTTTGTTTATTTATTTTTATGTGGTGCTGAGGATAGAACCCAGGGCCTTGCATGTGGTAGGGGAACGCTCTACTGCTGAGCCACAACCCCAGCCCTTACTTCAATTTTTTTAAGTATTAAAGCAAATTAATTTCATTCTTATACCAATCAAAACTGTCTAGTTTGGGAATTTGGGTTAGTATCTCTATCTCTTGATTTCTCAAAAGGGCAGATTCCAGCTTGGTTCCAGTTTGGTGACTTGGAATTAGCATGGGTGACTATTTTGATTTTTAGTCTGGTCTGTTTAGATCCTTCCTTGCGGGAGTTTAGTCCAAAACAATAGCTTACAGTAATTTTTACTTAAACTGATATTTAAATGACAATTCTCTGTTTAACTTCACCTTAATATTGTGTGTAAATATTGATACATCTTCAAAATGTAAAATTCAAAATTTTCTATTGCTTTCTATGTGAACATAATACCACACTGCTTATTTTCTTTAACTGACATGAGTGGCTTCTTTTGCTATCGGAACAGAACCTGTTCTACAGCCACTGAGTCACTGCTGTGAGTACCACTCTTGTCATGAGGGCAAAGCCTCTGCCACTTGAGAGAATAACGTTTATTTTCTTCTGTTTTTTTTTTTTTTTACATTTTGAAAATAATTGCTCAACACCTGAGCAAAATAAAGTCTTATAAATGCATAGGGAGGTGGAGCCAATTTTAAATTATGAATACATTTTAAACAATAGATTGCATGTGAATGCCATGATTTCTTCTCAGTGAATTCTTGTTTGGGATCCCAGATGATCAGCATATACTATGAAAGAGTTTTCTCTTTTTATCTTTGAATGTGGAAAAAGAGATGGGGAGGGAGGGCAGGTGGGCAGGTAGAGGCAGAGTCACAAGTCCCAGCTCAGTTACAACATTGCTGTTGACTTTAAGTAGACTGATCTCTCTTGACTTTGGTCCCCCTCTGAGAATGGGAAAAGCAACATTTCCTTTATCTGTCTCCTGCCTCACCTGTGGCTCTTAAAAAAAAAAAAAGTATGTGAAAATATTCTTAAAACTATAAAGGGACTATAATTATTTTTTAAAATATATTTTCCAAGTAGATATTATTTTTCCCTAGTCAACATCTCTTATTTCCCAATTCCACCTCTGGAATTGTTCTTAAACCACTCTGAGATGCAGTTTGAATAAAAGACACTGAGAGTAGATTATATTTTCAATTAGAGATTATTTAGCTTTCTGTTTATTGTACAACATGAAAAAAAAAAAAGATTTTCCTCCTAACTTAAAAGTTTAATTTTAATGCTGATAAAATCCAAACATTATTTCTGGAATATTCTTTGAGACCTGGAGATTTGAAGCCTTTGAAAGTACCATGCCAAAACCCTGCTTAATTTTAACATAGTATAATCATCCCTCTGATTCCAAGAGGGATTGGTTCCACACCTCCACGCCCTGTGGATACCAAAATTTGAGGATGCTCAAGCCCCTTATATAAAATGGCACAGCATTCACACATAGCTCATGCATATTCACCTACATACTTTAAATTCTCTCAAGATTATCTGTAATACCTAATGCTATGGAAATGCTAGGTGAGTCACTGTTAGATAATATTGTCTAGGAAATGATGACGAGAGAAAAAAATCTGTACATGTTCAATCCAAACATAATTTCCCCCCAACATTTTCAATCTGCAGTTGGTTGAATCTGTGGCTGCAGTACCAGTGAGTACAGAGACCGACTATATATAATTTAGCTTTAAACTCAAAATGTCCATTTTAAATATTGCCAGCGGTAGCCCAGGCCTGTGTTCTATTAAGGCAGATTCCTTGCTGGTACGGGTAGCAAGGACTGGGGCCATGAACAGTAAGCCTTCCAATTAATCTTCCAGGGCTGGAACCAAACAACTAGGCTTTGCCTAAAGCAATCACTATAAAATCTTCACCTGTACTTAGTGGCTCATGAAAATGTATTCAACATGTACTCTCTTGATTTCTTACCATGGCAGGTTAGAAGCTGCTAAGACAAACACGAGATCTTCTGAGCGCGCCAGCCCATCCATCTGCACCAGTAACTCTGTCTTCATCCGAAGGCTTCCTTCATGTTCTCCCCTATAGAGGGACAAAAAAGACATGATTCTCTCAAGTGGCAGAGGTTTTGACCTCATGACAAGAGTGGCACTCAAGCAGTGACCCAGTGACTGTTCTGATAGCAAACAAAGCCACTCAAGTCAGTTAAAGAAAATAAGCAGGGTGGTGTTATGTTCACATAGAAAGCAATAGGAAAAAAGTAAACAAATAGAATTATGGTATTTAAAAGAAATCCAAAGATTAGCAGTGAACTAGAAAATAACTGAAGGGTGAACAGTGCCAATGTGTAGATTAAATATAGCCTGGCTATGTCTACCTGCAGCATGGTTTACTGCCTTGAAAAATGGAATAATTAAGAATAATCTCTTTTATTTATATGGTAAGCATAAAAGCACTTTCACACAGTATTACTTTTAGTATAATTTATAGATCTAAATTTTTCAAGAGAGGTGAATTACTATCCTGAATCTGCTTTGTTCTCTTCTAATAAGAGGCAAGATATTGACATGGAACCTGTGGTTTCTTTGCACAGCTCAGTGGAGGCACTTTTCTGTGCAAATTTGCCCTCTAAACCCTCTATTGCCTGAGATGTTATCACTAAGAAAGAACAAGTTATAAGAACCCAACCAATTCAAACTGGATGGAAACATCGACCACATTCAGCAGACTCTCTTTCCTCTTCACTTGCATAGATTTAGTACAAAAAAGTACCTTTCTGGGCAAAACGACATTCAACTTTCTGTACATGTATGGGGTGGCAAACCAAACTAAGTACAGTGTGAGTATTCTTTATTTAAAATGTTTTGATCAGAAGTATTTCGAGTTTCAGATTTTTTTTTGAATTTTGGAATATCTGCATATACATAATGAGATATCCTGGGAAAAGGACCTGAGTTTAAACATAAAGTTAATTTGTCTTTCATGTATACCTTGAACACATAACCTGAAGGAAATGTACTCAATATTTTTAATAATTCCGTGCGCGAAACAAACCTTCATGGTGTAGAATTTTCCACTTGTGGCATCATGTTATAGCTCAGAAATTTCAGGTTCTGGAGCACTTCAGATATTAGATTTTCAACTTGGGGATGCTCAACCTATCTAAGGCTTCTTAGGATCTATGCCTCTTAGTACACAACTATCATTTCCTAAGAGAGAAGGCTCTTTTATGGTACAGTTATATGTTTATTTAGCATTTGCCCATAATTTTGATTCTTTCACTTCAGAGTACCTGACATTACTTCCTGACTCTCTGAAGACTCTAGCTTTAGAATCTTCAAGCTTCAGACAAGGAAACTGAAACTCAGGGCAAAACTTGGAGCCATCAATGCTGTGGCGACCCTGGGGGAGAAAAACCTATACGGCAAACATAAGAGCTGGTGCACAGGTTACCACTGCAGGGCAGGCCACATAGGGCTTGTTTTTGCAGGGGGGAATAAATATGGGATGGTCAGGGGCTCTCTGCTCCTGGCAGGTTCCATTTAGAGAAGCAGAGTGCCGCAGCCTGCGGCTGACAAGCAACGGTTAAACCATGGAAAGTGTCCCACTTCAATCAATTGCATGAATCGCAACTGACTTGGGTGCATCCTCATGCTTGATTTTCCCTGCCGGAAAGATGACTTACAATGCATAAATGTCATAAATTATATTCTAGTTATATTTTCAACAAGTACAACTATTATGCTTTTCATTACTATTCTGCTTTAATGGTAGACCATTAGAGGTCATTAATAAATGCAGCTGTGTTGAGATTTTCGAGACCTGTTTTTGCAAGTCAGGAATGCCAAAAATAATGAAAAGTTTCAGAGAAAAATACCTCTGATCAAAGACAGAAAGACTTAAAATCAAGCAAACAAACAAACAAAAAGAAAACCCTACTTGGCCTTTTGAAAGCATAAACAGAGGCTTATTACAGTCTGAGAAGTGTTCCTTCCTGCTGGGGACATTAGCTGACACTTAATCTTTACAAATAACATATGTGACATATTTAAAATCAGACATGCTGAGCCGCAACCTGATGTCAGAGAAACAGGGGCTTCCTGGCCTCTCACACTGACAAGGGCCGCCTCCAGGGAGTGAGATACAGACTTGGCCCATTGCAGGAGCTGAGTGGGCAAGCCCCATTCCCCATGGGCAGCCCTCCGGCTCCAGAGGAGGGGGTCACAGGCAGCTATTTTGAGCCAGTGGGACCGCTGTGGCAGCCTGGGATCCTGGGACTGGATGATCTTCAGGCCTCCGAACCACTCTGTGGGGTGGGGGGAAGGGAGAATGACATTTCCTCCGGTTATAAAAACTACTTAAATCAGCTATTCAGTTAACAGGATCTAATTTAAAGACCTTTCCATGTGTCTGCAGAAAATTTGTGGGCTTATTAATAGGCTCATTCTGCTGGTAAATGTCGATGGGCTTCCGACCATCAAACACACTTATAAGAGGGGAGAAATGATGACCAAAAAAACCCCCCGTCTGTTACCCAGGAGCCATGCCTCTCTGACTCATCACCGACTCCAGCTCGTCCAGGAAGATCGTAGAGGGGGCGTGATAACGGGCAAGTTCAAATAAAACCTGGGTGGGGGAAAAGCAAGCCAAGTTCAAATTCATATACTTAAAGTCCTCATCATGTACATAAGTCAAAGTCCTCAGATGCTCCCAGAGACTAAAAGCTTAGAATGACTATAATAATGCACATTCATTCTGCACTCTGTTATTTCACAGTAACTTTATAATCATTACCATTATTTCTCCCTACTACCACCCCAGGGGGTTGGATGGTCCAATTATTTCCATTTATCACTTGATAAAATTAGAGCCAAAGAGAGTGTGTGGTTAGTTCAAGTTTACTAATCATAAATGGCAGAATTGAAGAGAAAACTCAAGTTTCTAAGCTTTCCCTTGGTTGGTTAACATGGAGGACACCCTGCCAACAGCATGTTCCATATGGACACAGAGCCTTAGGATTTGTAAAATCATTTCATGGTTTTTCACTTAATCTGTGGGGACAATAGGAAGGTCGTTCTCAGAAGGAAAGGGAAAGGATAGGGTTCCAGTCATGGTTGACAGGGCTGAAAAATTTTGCCCCTTTCTGTTTCCTAAATTCCTCCACACTGCTGCTTGGTACAATCAGGTACATAAAGGCAATTCTTGGTTGAGTAAGATGTGCTATTCCAAGATGAAATATTATAAACTGAACAAGAACAGGAAAGCAACCAGCAAAAGAACAGACATATAAAAACAAAATAAAGAGCTCTAAAGGGAGACGTGGCGGTGATGAAAACAGTATAAAAATCTAAACCTTTTTTTTTTAAACCCTGAAACTGATCTCTTGAGCACCATATACAATTCTTCACTGGTTGATCGGAGAAAGCAGAAGAGATTTAGAAAAGAATAGAGATTCTTTAATAGCCACGGGGGATTTATTCTCTATGTCACTTAGCACTAGCAAAGCATCACAGAACAAATAAGAGAGGAGGGGCTCAGAAAAAGCTGGATTGTGGCTTTACAACAGCAGCAGGTTATCCCTCACAGGCCTTCTTTCCTGGAGTGGGGCATTCCTCACCTTTGTCATTGCTGGGGAAGCGGGTACATGCAAGGCCATGTGTCACCTTTTTCCTTTCAGAGAAACTCAGTCTAATGACATGAGAGAATCAGGGCAATGATTGGACACTTGTCTTGAATGCTTTTTAAATACACTGGAGCCCACCTAACTGGAAGAAAGTAAGTTTTCTTCCTTGTCACACAAAAGAAAGCCCCAGTACATCTGACATTGAGGGTGATTACTACAGCATTGATCTTCCCAGTGGAAAACAGAACATTAGAACTATGTGATTTTTAAAGAACTCACTCAGGTGCAAGAGAACAATCGCCTCAACTAGATCAACTGCCACCCAGTTGCAAGGAGAGCCACATCGAGAGCCTAGGTCACCGTACTGCTCACGTCACTGTTCTTCCCACTCCCAGAGAATAAATAGAATCCTGGGTAAGTGCTTCTGGAAGCATTAGTCTAAAATTTTCAGAGGTACTTGGAGGAAGTTAAGTCATACAATTGGTGGGGGGCAGTGAAAGATGTAAGCACCAACAGGTATATGCATTTGCTAAAGAGATCACTCAACTATTCGATAGTGCTCAACTCCTAAGAGGCATGAACATTAGAACAGGAGGGAGGAACACAGCCCAAAGGTTCCCTATAAATAACTCTTAATTGGAATAGAAAGAGAAACAAATGTCAGGAAAAGCTTCTCTGACTTAGGGGAAGGTCCTAAAGGGCTTTCTTTATCTGAATGCTTCACAGGAAAGGGCTTGACAGCATGACCAAGGTTTTCTAGGTGAGGATGTTTCCAAGATTTCCAAAAATAAGGATAAAATAAAGTTTCCTTTGTTTTATGTTTTTTTTTGGTGGGGGGAGTGGGGGTACTGAGGATTGAACACAGGAGTGCTTTACCACTTAGCTACATCCCAGCCCTTTATTTTTGTATTTTGAAAAAGGGTCTCACTAAATTGCTAAGGCTGGACTTGAACATGAGATCCTTCTGTCTCATCCTCTCAAATCGCTGAGATTACAGGTGTGTAACACCACACCCAGCAGGAGAAAATAAAGTAATTTAAAAAAGGAAAAGAGTTTTTAGATCCTTCAAGGTTGGCAGAAGTTACCTATTTTTTCTTGGATTATTTTTTCAAATATTCAAGTAAAAATGCATTTCATTAAAAAAATATATTCTAACCTATAAAAGATGCTCAAACTTATTTCAAATCAAAGAGGAACATACAAGTACTAACATATTGAAAAGCATAAACACTGAAACATTATTTTTCACTCAGATTGATAAAGATTTTTAAATTTTGATACTACACAGTATTGGTCAGAGCGTGGGGAAGCAACACACACACATTACTACAATCCTGTGGGTGAGTAATTTAGCAATCAGTGATGTTCATCCCCTTACTTTGTAGAAATTGCCCTCTGTACTACACATGCACAGACATGTGTATAGGAGACTGTCCTCCTAGATCTGTTCATAATCACAGAAGACTGGAAGCAACCTAAATGCCCATCAGTAAAAAACAGGTTAAATACACTTGGTTTATCCATGCAATGAAGCACCATGTAGACATATGAAAGAATGTTTTAAATATAATAGTCCAGAACAATATCTAAGTTATTTTGTAAAGTGTTGAGAAAGCAAGGTCCAGAAGGGAGTGTATAGTATATTCTTACTTGTATTTAAGAATAAAGAGAAATACGCAATAATGTTAATAAAATTATATATGCATGTTCTGGAGGGCTATGCAAGCATCTGTTAATAATGAGTACCTCAAGGGAGAGGATTCAGGAGTCTATAGACTCTTTTATATATATTTTTTTAACTAAGAGCTAGTTACATTTAAATATATGGTAAAGGAAAGGGGAGGTAGGGAAGGAATCATTTCTTCACCCTCAGAGTTCTAACAAAATAATACTGAAGCAGAAGCAAACTTTAGCTAAATAAAATGCTCACAGAGAATGGAGAGTTCTAGTTAACTGAGTTTGTTTAGTGGTTCAACATTAAATAAGAAAATCCATTTAGCTTTCAAACTCTGCCAAAAGTATTCATTTTAGAGGAATATTCATAAAATATCAGAATTTAGTCTTCTGCCTAGGTAAGTCTTATCTGGGAAGTACAATGAATCCTTCTTTGAGAATTTGGCAATGTCTTGTGTCTGTGGCTCTAAACACCACTCTTTATGACAGGAGATGAATCTAAGTGGATTCTGGGGTACATCTTTCAAGGGTTTTGTTGTTACTCAGCATACAAAAATGAAATGCCTCCCCAAAGGCATCAGACTAACATGGATTGCAGTTAGTTGAATTTCAGCTAATTGAAATCCAGTGAACCATAATCCCGTGGAAATAGCAAATGTAGGAACAGACAAATACCAGCCCCATTTTTTAACCTGGCACTAAGTTAGACTCAAGGTAAAGATCAAAGTAAATGTCAATGAATGTTTTCACAAATTACAGCTCTGAAGGGGTGATAAGAATATACAATGGTGGCTGTGGTGTGGCTCAGCGGTAAGGTGCTTGCCTCCACAAGTGAGGCACTGGGTTCGATCCTCAGCACCACATAAAAGTAAATGAACAAAATAAAGATAAGTTAAAAAATAAAGAATATACAAAAACATACACATGTGAAACAACTTGAAAATAAAATCAAAACAATAAATAATAGGTTATGTTAGGTAAATCAATTCTTTTAAAATATTCCATTATGACTTTCAAGTAGACCATAATCTTTTGGAAATGAGTCATTCAAGGGAACGTAATTTCAGAGTAATATTTTAGGGTAATTTCTTTTCAGAAAATACATAATACTTTATATTCACTTAGTATTGATTACTTATCAGTCTTCTACAAAAAGCAATAGTTTAACAGGATTTCTGGAAAGGATCCACCTTACATTGAGGCATAAATCACAGACACAAATTCTCTTAAGGTGACTGACTGGAAGATATAGTAAATTTTTATAATGTAAAATGTGTCCAAGACTAAGAATGAAACATTGTAAAGATTGAAACAGCCCTTTAAGGAAGGTTAAAACCCTCAGGCTGTGAGCACAGTGCAAGAGATTTGCTCAGAGCATCTGAAAGAATAATTAAGTTTTAAGCCTCCTGATTTTTCTGTAGAGTACTTGGCATAGGAACGAGCATACAGTGGTAGCCTCTGAATAAATGTTGACTGAAACTACTGCACATACTTAATAATAAATACTTTCACAATAGGCCACTTCAGAGATCATTCTTCCCCCCAGATTCCATTCCTAAGTTGCATGAATTAAAAAAAAAAAAAAAAACTGTTGGTAAAATTCCAAAAGAAAGGAGATCATGTTCTGCTGATGTGATTAACATCCAATTATAATAGTAAACCCATTTCCCCAGCTTTTTGTAATCAAGACCCAGGACAAAATCTAACATAGGTATCATCTAAAAACAAGTTAAGCTTGAACATCATTTTTTTTTAGGGGGGCGGGGACTGCTGGGAATTGAACCCAGGGCCTTAGTGCATGTGAGGAAAGCACTCTATCAAACTGAGCTATATCCCCACCCCGCTAACATCATTTTATTTCCACTATATTCTACAAGAACTTGTGTTTTTAAAAGATACAAAATTAAGGATTCCTACCCGAACAAGTTTTTCGGAATCCCCTCTCCATTTGCTGACAATGGTAGATGCAGAAATGTTAAAGAAGGTTGTTTTACATTCGGTGGCCACAGCTTTGGCCAGTAAGGTCTTTCCTGTACCTAGAGACACATGGGGATAAACATGAGCTGATGCTTAAACGCCGGTTTCCCTGCTGACAGGCGCAAGTCAGGCTCACACAGGGAAGAGGCAGTGGTCAACAGCTCTCAATTGCCCCAGTTCTCAAGAGGACACAGTGGCAACTCATCCTCTGCACACACACTTCCTACCAACCCAGAAATGGGAAACTGTGTTACCTGGAGGGCCGTAAAGCAGAAGTCCTTTCCAGGGTGAAAGAATTCCTGTAAATAGCTGTGGATACTGTGGGGGAAAAGAAACAGGGAACAATGAGGAGGTTTGGTATCAATGCATAAGCCCGTGCCCCCTTAGCACAGAGAGTTGGTACTGCTAGAGCAAAACACAGCCCAACTCTACAATTCAGGGATTCCTTTTGTCTGTTTAAGACCTGCTTTTCTGTATATATTATTTATCCCAATTTTATTTCCACGCTGGATAAGAATGATTGAACCTGTTTGTGAATTCTAAAAGAGCAGTCTTTTTTAAAAGAAAAAAGAAAGGCCTATATTCCCCTCCAATATAATAGTTCTTTTTTTAAAAAAATTTAATTCTTGAATTATAATTATACATAATAGTGGGATTTTTTTGTTACAAATTCATACAGGAGGCATTTTTAAATCAATACTTATTTCTTACATGCACAATGTCATTTCTCCCATAGTTCTATGTATAGAGTATTTGGCAATCTTTTTATTTCCTTTTTGTAAATTTATTCTTTTTAGATATACATGACAGTAGAGTGTATTTTAACATATTATACATACACATGGAATATAACTTATTCTAATTAGGATCCCATTCTTGTGGTTGAACATGATGTGGAGTTACACTGGTTGCGTGTTCATATATGGTATTTGGCAATCTTTCAAATGTTGTAAAACAAGAACAAGAAGATAAACAATAGATCAGGGGTGGGGGACAGGCAGTGGTGCAATCCTGTAATCTTAGCAGCTCAGGAGGCTTAGGCAGGAGGATCACAAGTTCAAGACCAGCCTCAGGAATCTAGCAAGGCCCTAATCAACTTAGCGAGACTCTGCCTCAAAAACAAAAAAAAGGACTGGGGATGTGGCTCTGTGGTTAACTGCCCCTGGGTTCAAGCCCTGGTACATAAAACAAACAACAACAAAAACAAAACCCATAAAAGAACCGATAAATAAAGGTATGAGTGAGTGAAATACAAAGCTCTGACTGTGTTAGAAGTGAGAAGCAGTCAGGTGTGGAGGCAGTCAGATGTGGAGGCAGTCTCCTAGAATCCCAACTATCCAGGAGGCTGAAGCAGGAGGATCACAAGTTTAAGTCCAACCTGAACAACTTGGTGTGACTCATCTCAAAATAATTAAAAACAAAACCAAAAAACTTTGGGGGTGTCACTCATTAGTGGAGTGCTTGCCTAGCATGTGTGAGGCCTTGGGTTTGATCCTTTGCAACAAATAAATAAATAAATAAATAGGGATCATTCAGTGACAAATACTTGAGGAGAAACTGACTGCAGAAGGGTATGCATGGACCTTAGTGAGCCTCTTCCTTTAGTTCAAATTCAAATAATCTGGGCAGTGGGTGGGATCTGCAGAGAACAAGGAGAAGGAAAAAGAATAGTAAAATTGTAGCTGGCTCTTAATTTCTTGCTAATCCTGATGTCAAATCTGAATATCATCCCATGCCAAGTTTAAAATGCTGTCACACATCCAGAGAATTTCAATGAGATGTTCTATCCTTTCTAAACGTTTTCTACTATGCTTCTACTTGGAGGAAAAGAGAGTAAATTTCTATTAACTTCAAACACCAAGGTATTTCTTACTCCCATATCTGAAGACAGGAAGAATGAAGGGAAAAGACAATCAATTTATTGATTTTTGTCTTCTTAGAATAAAAGCACCCAAAAAACAAAGGCTTCGTGGGCTCCCGGGTAAGAATACGTAGGTTATTCAATAAAATGATTCTGGCTGCAGGAGATTATAGGACATGGCCACAGACTCTTTGCAGCTCTTGCCATGAAGAGGTAGAATCTGTTTCTCCACCACTGGATCCTGGGCCTGGCCTTGTGACTTTGGCCAATGGGACATTGGCAAATATAATAAGAAACTGAAAAAGTATAAGAATAGCAAATATAAGCAGTGTAAGAAGACATATGAAAAATGCTTAGGACATAGGCCTTGCCCTTTCTTACCTCTTTCTGGGAGCCTTCTGTTAACAGGGCTGGACTCCCCTGCTAAGGGAGAGAGGCCCCAACTGACCCACTTATCCCAACCTTTCCAGCTACTCTGGCTGATGCCCTGAACATGTGGTTGAGCTGGGTCAGCAAAACCATATGGAAAAGAGAAGAGCTGGCCCAGCTGCCAGCCCAAACTGCCTACCTTCAGAATTATAAGACAATAAATGGTTATGGGGCTAAGGCACTAAGTTGTGCCTTATACACTCTTTGTGTCTGTTATGCAGCAAATACCATGTGATTCCCTGACCTCCTCCTCATCCTGTTTGGAGAGAATTGTTTTTCTATTCTTCTACCTATTTTGTGAGCCATGCAGAAATTTGTCAGGAATATGTAATGAGCACAGCTTTCTGGCTCTGCTGGCTCCTGTCCGGGAAGGTACTGTCTGCCCTTCACAATCGGCCCAAGCAATACTGGTAAGGGAGCATCTATAGAAACCAAGTGAGAGGTCCTCTCCTACCAGAGCTATTTCTGTTTTTCTTTTTCTTTTCTATTTTTTTTAGGAAATCAAATTACTTTTTTATTTGTTTGCAGTACTGGAGCTATTTCTACCATACTAAGTTTATTTTTAGAGAGGGAGGCTCATTGGAGCCAATGTGTAGTGGCTGACAAATCAAATATACAAGACAAAGTCCTAGATCTTCAATGATCACATCAAGCAGACATCTTCCTGGAACCAATATGAGACATGATTTTAAAGTGTCCAGAATGGGCTAGGCCTGATGCCCTAGTGTTGACAAAGTGCTGTGACAGGCACAAAGTTAACTCGTGGACTGAAAATCATCCTGGCCTGTCCTTCCTGAAAGGTGTGTGACATACAGCTTGTCCAATGGATAATGAGCAGAAATACCCACCCCCCACCCCTGCCATTCTTACCCTTATAGGATACACAACAGCTTCTTTCACTAGCTGCTTGGCTGCGTCCAGTCCAATAATGTCATCCCACTTTATGTTTGGATTATGGAGATAAATGTCCTGCAATGCACATTTGATCATTTTGTTAAAACTAATTTTTTTCCTCCATATCTGTAATAAACATGGGAGCAGAGAACTTGACTTACAATAGAATATAAAGGGCTGGTGATCAAAACTTTTCATATTAGATATATGTATATGTATACATTGTAATTTGGGGTTAGCTCACCAAAGGGATATAATGAAAATATTCAACGATTTTCCCTGAAAAAGATATTGATGATATAATATGATTCTTTTAAAAAGGAAAAAAAAAATCTCCTAACAATGGACTCTATCTGTCTTCAGTCAACAACACACCATGCTGATTTATGACCATAATCAAAGAAGCTACAGAATCTGCCTTGAAATTACACTAGTTTTCACTGCAAAACATAGTTCCTTACCGGCGCCTGACTTCTCTCTTGCTCTTTGATCTGGCAAACACTTTGTTAATTTGTTGCATAAAAGAGATGATGCTCCTCTGAAACCAATTTCTCTTTTTTCCCTAGTGATAGCTCCCTACTTTCAGCAGGAGCAATTGCTTCTGCAAGATTCAAGGAAGCCGACAATGGAGCCAAAGCCGTTTCCCCTCTTACAGGAGAGCCCTGTAGCAACCATCGAGGGTAATCAATTAAGGTAGTTTTTACTGATAACTAATTTACAGTTTTCAAACTCCAATTTCACAAGACGCCTCAGAACAGTCACTCAGGGGCCTTTCTGTGTAGGAGCTATTTCAGGCAAACAATGTCTAGAGTGTTACATTAAAAAAAAAAAAAAAAAAGCCTCCTTTCCAAAAGTCGTTCTGAGTGACTACAGCATGAATCTGGAAACTGCCCTTTTATTTATTTAATTTCTAATAAGTAACATGAGCCTTTTTTTAAGTACATTTTTTAAATGTCAGTGACATGTCAGGGCCCTACCTTCTCCCCTTCATCGAGAATCCCCCAACACAGCAGTGCCACTTCTAAGAGGGAAACTATGTATAGAAGTGATTTGGCTCATGTATAATGTGCATAATCCATTTCTGGATGGGATGACAGAGAAAGGACTCAGTCTTCCAAAATCTTGGGAGGCCCACCCTGTCTTTCAAGTCTACATCTGCAGGAAGCCCACCAGTCACTCTCATTCTTATTTCTGCCCTTTCTGCAGGACATCTTTGCATATGCTGAGGCTTCATCTACCTTGGTATTCAAGGCATCCATTGAGAATAGTGTTTCTTGCCCTTTTCTAGAGTTGACACTGTGTTCCACAAAGTTGTGTTTAATTTCCCAACTCCAGTTTCTCCTCTATCATTCTGAAGTTATCAGTCAGATAACTGGTATCAAAAGGCCTCATCAGGTGGTCATCTCTCCATGCCTGGAAGTACTCAAGCAGGGGCTGAATGGCCATGTCCATTGGTTCCATGGAGAGGATTCCACACGGAATCCTCACAGGTCACTTCCTATCTCTAGCTCTATCTTCAGTCAGGTTATTCTTTTGCAAAAATGGTAATGAGACTATTGAGTTTTTGTGAGTCTAAAAAATATTTTGCTCTACTCTCTTGTGCATACCAGTCACCACAATCTGGCCCAAACCCCCATCTGCCCTCATTGGTAAAAATCTTGTAGCTGACCTTCCCTCTCAATTGCTTTGCCATCCATCCACCTCACTGCCACTAGAACAAGTTATCTGCAGGCACATTTGATGACCCCATCCCCTGAGAACATCAGTCAAAAGATCCTCGTCTCTAGAGGCCAGTTCCTAGCCCTAGTACTGCTTGGGTGCCCCGCATCAGGAACCCTGGATCTCCAATCCCATTTCCTTCTACTCTCTGCTTCTTACTTGGATTCCCAGAAACATTCATAAGTGGTACCATTTCACATAGTTGTGCCTTTACCCTGTCTTCCTCTCTTTTTCATTGAGCTTTTTCCCAGTGTCTTCTTTCCCCACAGTACCCGTTCTTCATGCTCAAAGTGCACTTGCCCACATGACCAGAAACTCTTACAGGCAAGGACTGTGTCTGACCTATCCACCTTTGTGTTTCCAGACCTAGAATATGCCTGATACATTTCAAGCCTCTCCCTGAACCAGCCTTGATTTCAGTCTTCAATTAAAAACATTGGAAACTGAAAAAGAACCTGTGACTAGGAATCCATTCTAATCTCAGGAAACTCATTCAAAATCACCCAGCTAGAAAGAAAAGGATCTTGAAATCAAATGCTGGTCAACTAACTCCAAAGCATATGTCATTAACCATGAAGCTTCACTGCCTTTATTTAGATTCTGAGGCATGAGCTTGAGAAGTCTCTAGTCTGGGTGGTAAAATCTTTCGTTATAATCTGTTTTTCATGGAAATTTCCAGTTATGAGATCATCGGACTCTCAATCTCCCTATGTGTTTGACTTTTGAAACAAAATGCAAATATGTTCTTTCCTTCTCTAAGAGGCTTCTTTCCATGACTCTGGGCCCTGCTATAAAACCTTTCACCTGTCCCTTCTTTCTAAGTCTTTTTGTCTTTTGGTTTTCTTGGCCTCTACACTGAGATAGTGGGCTTTTTATATTGTAATTTTATGATTCTATAATTTATTTATCATGCATTATTGTGCCTCTAAACAATATGAGTGCCTTCGCAAGTGGGGGCACTTTATAAATAAATGATCATATTTATTGTTATTAATAAAAGAAGCAGCCCACAATGCTCTAGGAGCCCCAGTTTGCCTCGGTAAATTTGTGAATTGAACAGCGGAGCTTACCCGGCTCACCACGGCTGCCAATTCTCGCATCTCACTGTTCATGCCAATAAATGCACTCAGAGGTTTCAGCAATCGTTCCTGATGAGAGGAACAGAAAGGCTCACATTACAATAGTGCTTCATAATTTAGGAAGAAAAACAGGATCTTCGCAAAACAAATGGTGACAGGCTGCTTTGACCTCTAAACTTGATCACAAGCTTTCAGTGTACTCAAAGTGCTGAGGATACTTCCAGGGTTCACCTGGATTTTGGCAGTTTGAGAGCTGGATGGCACATCTTGGCCACTTACTGAGGGGTCTGGGTTACAGTCGAAGGTGTTCAAGGCAAGTTCACCAGTTGCTCCCCTGATGGCATCTGTGAGCAGCCCTCGGAAGTCGATGATTGGGCCCTGAAAGGGAGCTATGGTTATTTCTACCATGAAGACATTCAAGATTATCCGTTGTGGCCCAGTCTCAGCAAAACAAACCACTTCTATATCTCCTGGTACCTGGGGCAAGCTTAATGGCAGGCCTTAGAAAAACCTGCACTAATATTAAAAACAATGACGACCTGAAGTTGGGGCACTATGAGGAAACGGTCAATAATTCTTCAGAATGAAGTTGATTTGAATAAAAATTCACCAGTGCTTTTCCATTCCTAGCACATGCCATCTGCTTTCCCTGTCTAGTCTCATTCTTTTAAAATGCGACAGGCACAGGAAGAACTCCCTGGTACAAGAGAAGAGCCATGTCCTGTCTGCATGCCTCTCTCAGTAGTACCTGGTACAAAACGGGTGTACAGGACACTCTAGGAGGATTGTTTCTAATTCTTGCAACCTCTCTGCCAGTGAGGAGAGACATCCTGGTTTTGCATTTGTGGAGGCAGGCAGAGGATTCAAGTGCTTCTCCCAGGGTGGTAGAGCTAAGTGACTCAAGGCCAGGATTCAAAGCCATATACCTTCCAAATCCACCCTGTCTCCCCTAGAGTCAGGAGGGCAAAGCAAAGATGCAAGTATTTCCAGTAGCCAACGTTCACTGTTTATCATGTGACAGACAGGCCCTGTACTAAGGCTGTCCTTTCATTATGGTGGGCATGACAATTTTGTGGAAATTGTAGGCAACTTGCCTAAAGTCGCACAGCAGGGAAATGTTGTTGCAGAGTGAACCCTGCAGGCTGACTCTGAAGCCCATGCCCTCAAGAACAGCACATCTGTGAAATTCAGTGTGCTGGGGAGATCCTGAAGCCAGGGTCCCTACCGTGGCAAGGACAGACCCATTGGGGCTCACCCCTGGATATACACCCTCATTCAGCCTATGTGCACTTAAAACACTGGGGAGAAAACCATTCACGTTTCACCCCAGGACATTTCTGCTGGAAAGAGAATTTATAGCCAGACAGTTTCCAAGGTTAAGTGCTGGGTTAAATCGTCCCTTCCTTGTGACCCAATCAGAAACGTCCGTTTATATCAATGTAAGCATTCACAAAAGAAACCAAAGCCACAAAAAACTGCCAGGCACAAAAGGGACTGAAAACATGACAAAAGCAGAGAGGGTGAAGAAGGAAACCTTGCTTTCTGGGGGACATTGACTCGAGTGGCATCATCTCCAGCAATTGCCCAGTTCATTGGGGCCCTTAAAGGAAGTCAGCTCAGGCCAAGGAGGAAGCACCCCTTGATTTCCAGGGAGATGCTCCCTGCCACCCCTTCTCTCCCTCTCTCTCTCTCTCTCTCTCTCTCACACACACACACACACACACACACACACACACACACAGTAGTTTGCCAGAGAGCTGGCCAGAGCTAAGCCAGCAGTCTACAGTTTCAGATGTGACTAAAGATTGAGGAGACTCTTAAAGAACCCCCCTCCCTGGAGGGAACAATCAAGAGAATGTGGTGCTTTCCACCCCCAAAGGACATGGCAGAGCTGCCTTTTGACTGCATTCACCCAGCCTGGGTCTTCTCTCTTTGAGAAACTATCATTTACAAATCCAGACATGGCATTCATAATGACAAGGACAGACGTATCTATCAAGGGCGGGATCCCAGCCCTGGATCAACTGAGGTTTCCTGGTCCACATGGAATTCCACGTAAACCTGGAGTCACATCTCCAAGGACAAGGGTGACTGCTATTCAACTATCTTGTCAGAGTCTAAAGGAATGAGCAGGAGGCCACAGCTCAGGCAGCACCGCCAGGCCAGTGTTTATCGCGCTACTCCATCCCTTCTAAACCCTAAGTGTATTACAAATAAAGAACAAATGAGCTCCTTGGAGATGGGGCAGTTGGCTCCAGACCATTCCTCCACAAAGGCAGGAACCCATTTTCTATTCCCATGCATACTCTTACCAGTGTACCTCACAGCCAACATTTGATCATGAGGTTTTAACTTCCCTCTTGGACAAAAATACTGCATTGTGTTCATTAAAAGAACCCCCCCTTCAGTGTCCTGAGTTCCACTTACTCTTCGTGGGTGGGCACTTTCTTCTCCACTGTCTTTGTGGATTCTTGATATGTTTAAGCCAAAGTCAGGGGTCTCCATGTGAGTGTTATTGATGCCCTGAGGACAGAGGGACATGGTGAGCAGGCAGCTGTGGGAGCTGCTTAGAGGTGCTGCTTAGAGTTGCCAGTGCCCCTGACAAAACCACATGCCAGGTATCCTGTCAATGGGCAGCCAGACCTGTGTGTTATTTAGCCACATTTGTGACCCAGTAAGAGGAAGTACCTCTCTACCTGTGTCCTGAGGGAAGACTTGAGATCCCACAGGCCATGAGCTCCGAGCAGCTTTTCCAATGGAGGAAATAGCTGTGCCTCAACCCGTCCCCACTTGCTGACTGGTCCTTTCTCCTGTGCCAGGATGTCTGTGGCAGGTCTGGCCAAGTCTGGAGATACAGCAAGATCAGCCAGCCTCCTGTGTGACTGGCCTGCCCCAAGTCACCTCTCCTCCTCCTGAGTCAGACCCAGGAGGCCACAGCCATAGACCCTTCTTGAGGGTGAGGGATTCCTTTTCACCAACTGGGTCTTATGATTATTCCTTTCTATTCAAGGAATCTTCTAGCCAAGAATCTTGGACATTAATTCTCTCCCATTCCTTTTCTGGGTTTCTGTTGCTCTTCTTTCTTTTAAAGCTTGGAAAGTTTTGTCCTAGTTAAGAAGGTTCTAGATATGGATCTCCTGAGTCAGAAGGCTTTGATTTCCCACCTGCCATGTTCTTTCCTTTTACTGTCTTTTCCTCCTCTAGAAATTTCAGTATGGAGGTCTGGGATAAGCCCAACAGGAGATCCTGAGATCCAGTCACACTGGAGACTATTCCTGGTCTCCACTTAAGAACCCAAGAATATGATTGGGGACACTGAAGTCCTGTCATCTGCAGTTACCTCAGCTGGGAGGTTGGAGCTCTGCAACTTCCAGGCCCTACCCTCAAGCCCCTCTTTCCTGCACTCAATCTAGGGGAAATATGGGGGGTGAGGAGAGACAGGAAGGAGTCCTCCTGCTCAAATTAAGAAACACTGGAGAATCTGCAGATTTGTCTATGGTTTTCATCCAGCATAGTAAAAGTCTACAACTTTCAGAGAATTCCACAATTCAATTAAATCATATAGCAAATTTAAAAAGATAGGGCCTCAAAATTTTATAAAAATGATCTTTTTAAATTGGGGTTGTTTCTCAGCTAAGTGTAAGACTACCAACATCCAGCAAAGCCATCTCACCTGTTTTGGTTGCTCCTTGTTGAGAGATTTGTTGTCCCCCATCTTCCCTGCCATGGTTTTGGATCGTGGCCTCTGTTGATTGATCTTGGGAAGATTTTGACAACTGTCATTCATCATCCTAAGGAAGGGAACAAAAACCTTGGAGGAGATTATTCTAACCACTTAACCTGAGGTAAATAAACAATTGTTTAGTAATCTAGGAGCACATAGAGAAACTACAGATCCTATTTAGATAGGTTTAAAAAATGGGGCTGGGTGGCACACAGCTGTAATCCTAGCAACTCAGTAGACTGAGGCAGGAGGATCACAAGCTCCAGGCCAGCCTCAGCAAATTAGAGAGAGCCTATCTCAAAATAAAAATAGAAAAAGATCAGGGATGTTTCTCAATTATAAAGTGGCCTTGGGTGTAACCCCCAGGATCAAAAAGATAAGTAAAAATAAAAATAGAAAATAGAATTCCTTGGGTGCTCTGTGTGCCAGGCACTCAGTACGAGACAGAAATTTGCTCCATTCTTGTAAATAGCAAAGACAGGAACTGGGCCTGGGTCTTTTACTCTCTGAGGCCCACACTCCACATGCTACATGGCCTAGAAAGACAGAATCACTCCATGCAATTATTTGCAGTAAAACCAGAAAAACTAACAAACATTGGTCCATGTTCTGGACAGTTGTAACTTGGGGGTATTCCATGGCTGAGCCCACTATGGTCACATGACCATAGTTTGGTATTGCTGGTAGTTGGCCATGGAGAGGCACTAGAGATTCTTCTAGAAAGATCCCACATACTCCCAGAGTTGAGCTGATCAAGACGAAGTATTATTTACTCTACCTTCTGGTCTTCCCTCCACTTCTTGGTGGTAAATTATTTTCTCCTGTGGCAAAACAAATATTGGGAGAAAAGGAAAGAATTTAATCTTAGGAGACAAAGTAGTTTGGGGTATGTTTCTCCTTTTACATTGTTCTAAAAGTTTGTTTTACAGTCTTTTGGACAAGATACTCCATCTGATCTAGTGAGAAGTGAAATTGCCAAGGAGGAGAAAAAAAGGAAATGTGGTGGACAGCACATGCCATAAAGGCAACTCCAATTCAGGTTGGCTTGACAGCTGCCATTTCATTGAGTTTTCATGAACCTGACATCATGATGTGATAAAAAAAAAAAAAAAAACTTACATCTATTTGCTGGGGTGCAGAGGAACCTCACGAAAATTATGTGAGTCTGGTAAGAAACACATAAGTTATACTCTCCTAGTTTACCTTAAAATCAAAACACGGTGTGCAAGATCACAGAAGAATGTGGGGACCAGGATGACAGCCAGCCATCTAGAAATCAGATCATGTGTCTTACAGTCCTAGCAGCCCTGTGCTTAGGAGGCAAGGCTAACTCAAGGTCCATACCTAACAAATGGCCAAGAAATCCAAGCTCTGAACCCTGCATTGGAAGGAAGCTCAGACAAAATACCTCTCAGACCTCTTCCAGCTCTGAGATTCAGGCTTGGCTATTTTTAAATGACGTTCCTCTTGGTTTCCTGGTCCCTACATGAAATGTTAAAGTCTGTGGCTTAACAAGTGCCTTGTAAACAGGACAATGATCTCCCTTGGTTTATAATTACTTCCCCCCACTTATAGACTTCTAAGTCAATGTTACTACAAAACCTAGAGCCCTGGTTTTAGATCTCCCCTCCAGCCAACCTCCTTGAATGCTAACCTATATCAGGTCTTTGCATTATATTGATCATTATCTGGATTGATGACTTTCAAAAGCATTTCATTATCTATACATGAGCTATTAGCTTCACCAATACTCATTTTCATGTTATTTTCAAGATAGATAATAGGTCTTCCTAACAAGAAAAAGTCTTTGTCATTCATCCTCTTCCAAAAGCCCACTCTGTCTCTGCAGAAATTAATGCTGGTCTTATAAAGAGCACCTGCGGTACTCTTGGGTTTTGCTTTCATTGTCCTAAAACATACATTCCTCAAACAAATGCCGACATGACTAAAGGGACGTCAATATCCAGATGGTCGTGTACAGGTTGTCTGCTCTGGATCAAGAGGCTGCATGATCTTTCTGGTCTCCTTTACAGTGCAGGGTGCAGAGTACCATCTATCTGACAACGATGCAATAAAAAACTTATATCTAGAAAATAGTCATGTACCTGTATCTGATGCCTTTTTAACAATTTTGGGGTATTTCTGGAATTTTACAAAATAATAACTCTCATATTCCATCAAAATAGTTTCAAGATCAATGTTGTCACAAACTTCAAAGCGTCGTAACCCCAGTTTGGTTTCTTGCTCCAAAGCATTGGCTGCATCAATATATCTGGTAGTTTTATAGAAGAAAAAATAATTAACTTTGGGTACAAAAAACAAAGGAAAATAGGCATTACAAGTCCAAAGAGACTCAATACAGAGAGTAAGCCTTAAATAGATCAGCAGATGAAAACTAGAATATATGAGGTTTTTCTAGAGAGTAAGGACCTTAGTTTATTAAGTTTATCCAAATATGTCTTTCAAAACAGTTGCCTCTGGAAGCTTCATGCTTACACGAACGATGTCATCGTTGCTCAAAAAATTTTAATTTGCTTTAAAGTCAAATAAGTGAGTCAACTAAATGTCTTATAAATTACTTTTATTCATCTTCAGCCAAAAATGGGTTTGCCTAAATTTCCTACCTGTTTATTTACCAGTATTCATTTCTGGTAATATTTGGAAATTGTTAAAATCCAAATTCAACCCCAAAAGGAAGATTTGTCTCCATTAGGACAATTCAAAGCAATGTGTCATGAGCCCTGAAGGAAATCCCAAGCATATGTCAATAAGCATCACTGAAGAAATTTAGTGTGAGAAGATGTCATCTGCTTGGACGAGTTATTTCCAATAATTTGAGTTAGTCAAACATTACACGAAAGGTGCTTCCACGTGTAAGTAGCTTCATCACCACTGTTCTGAACTGTCATTTTTGACTTGTTTTGTGGTAAGACTGTCCAACGTAAGTGGATACCATGAGAAGCAAGGACTCAAAAACCTCTGAAAGTAGAATGTCTCTCCAGGTCTCAATTCTTAGTTATTAATTTCTTTTTTAAACTAATGATTTTCTCTTAAAAAGTTTTCACATGTGCAAATACACATAAATTACTATACATTTTCAAGGTCTTATCCAAGGACCTCAGGTTAAGAATTCCTGCTACAGGGAGGGGCTGGGGTTGTGGCTCAGTGATAGAGCGCTCACCTTGCACATGCAGGGCCCTGGGTTCCATCCTCAGCACCACATAAAAATAAATAAATAAAATAAAAGTATGGGGTCCAAATAAAGCTAAAAAACAATTAAAAAAAACTAGAATCCCTGCTGCAGGTTAGAGTTCTTTCTCTTTGATTCAAACCTGGGAAGGCAAACTTTTTTTTTTTATTATGTCCTCTTCTCTCCACAAGATTCAGGTCAATTAGAAAATTTATTCTTTAAAGAGGTTGCCATGGTTATTGCCAATGACTTTTAAATGTATTTATCTCTCTCAAGCTATTTTTTTTTTGTACTAGGAATTGAACCCAGAGGTGTTTTACCACTGAGCCACATCCCTGGCTCTTTTAATTTTTTATTTTGAGACAGCATCTCAATGAGTTGCTGTGGGTCTCATTAAATTGTTGAAGCTGGCCTTCTGTCTCAACCTTCCAAGTTGCTAGAATTATAGGTGTGCACCACTGTGCCTGGCTCTCAAGCTAATTTTAAAGAATTCACAAACCACAGTCAGTCCGTTGACTGGGGAGTTAGTCAGCCTATATACTATGCTGTGTCCTAATTCCCATTTTACAGGGATTGAAAACAAAATATGTTTTTAAAATAAATAATTTTAGTTTAGTATAAAGTAATACATGTCCATTTAGGAAACAACTAGAAAATACAGATAAGTCAAAAGATGCTCAGAGATGATTCAACATCTTTCTGTTTTTTGAAATGACTAAGTTCATGTATGCACCTGTAAAGCAATAAATAAACAAAGAAGGAAGCTAAGGACATGCACTTTAGGTTGCTTGTAGTCCTTACTAAATCACATTGCATTCTGAACTATTTCCAGGATTGTGGAATTTTGACTTAAAATTTTCTAGAAAAGATGACTGCAGGCCCCATGCTTCCTAGGCTAATGATAAGAGGAACAAATTTGCTTCTGCGGGTTTCTGATATATTCTTTGAGCTGGAATGAGTTCTGTCATGGCGCCACCTGGGTTCTTAGTCAACAGAGTGACAGGACAGAATATCGGAAAGAGCAGTGGGCACGAGTGGACCGTAGCAAGTAAGACTGAACCAGATGCAGGAGGAAGGCTGTCACATCATTCAGGCCCCAGAGGCTGGATGTGTGGGACTGAAGACCAGCATCCATGACCTCCAGAGTCTGCCTTCACTAATTCCCACTTGCAGATTCAAATGCTGGCCTTTAAGGGTTCCACTTGTGCCATGTCCCTTCTTCCTCTGCACCTCTGCCCGTCACACTTTTCTATGTATATTCTACATATCTATCAAATCCTGATCACATCACCTCTGCAAGACTTTTCCGGGTTGGTCATTCCAATCCACAATAATCTGTTCTCTTTGCTGAATTCCCAGAACTTCATTTAGGATATATATATATTTTTTTTTCTTTACATTGACATGTCCTTTAAAATACCAATTGTTCACTTTTCATCTTGATAACCCACTCTTTCACCCATTTCCCTGCAGGTCTCAGGAAAATGATCAGCTCAAGTAGAATTTTCATTGATTTGATATTCAAAGCGCCATCTAGTGGCAAATTGGGGAAATGCATATGTTTTAAGCGGTATACAGTAAATTCTGGCCATAATAAAAATTGAAAAAGGGTTAGTTGTACTGACTTACTAGTCTTTTTGTTTCTACAGCTCTTATTTCCGAGACAATTTCTTGAATGCAACACACGTTGCAATAAAAATCAAGGATTTTCTGTGTAAATATATTTGTCTTGCTTTCTATTCTACCCATCTACATTCTAGTAAGTTCCTCAGTGGTTACTCAGATAACGTTTATTGAACAACTGTTAATATTATGCTCATAGTTCTAAGACCTAGCATGATGAGTCTAAGTTTCATATGAGTCAATTAATCTGCAAAGACAGCATTCTCAAAGAGTTCCATAGAAAACTAGTCTCTAAAATAGTCTCAGGAAAAAAAAAAAAAAGTGTTCCTTGGCCAAGTTGGTTTGCAGAACCCTAAATACCTAATATGTTAGCACAGATATTCCCACTGCACATAGCAAATTAGATGGTTTGAGAAGACCCGAAATAAGGGGGCTTGTTTACCTTAGTTTAACGTAAGTTCACCTGAGTACAATATTAATTTAAGTAATACTTATTAACAAAATTATTGTTTCCAATGTTCTACACACTTCTGGGTTCTTTAGATAGAACTGATAGTCCATCAAAAGATGATGTAAAATGGACCAAATCCTCATTCTATATGTTTCAAACCATGTTATATATAAAAATAATAAAATCCAAACCCATCTCCTCTATAGTAAAAATAGCAAATGCTCATAGGAGCTTACTTTGTGTCAGGTACTATTCTATTCTAAGCATGGCACATATTTAATTCTCATTAAACATGTGATCTTGGACTAAGTAACTAGATTAACAAATAATAGCAAAGATAGATTAGCAAAGAATAGAGCAGGCATTTAACATAAAAATGGACTGGCTTCTGCTGGCCATGGTGCCACATGCCTATAATCACAGCTGCTCAGGAGACAGAGGTAGGAAGATCACAAGTTCCAGGCCAGCCTCGACAACTTAGTGAGAACCTGTCTCAAAATAAAAATATTTGAAAGGGCAGGGGATGTAGCTTGGTGATAGAGTGCTTGCCTCACATGTGTGATGACTTGAGTTCAATCAGCACCACACACAAAACCCAAAGTCTGGCTCCAAAGTCTGTGCATTTAGCTAGGAAGCTTTCCCTACCTTAATGAGCCACATACTCATGCCTGGCACTTTCTCCTATGCTGCCCTTAGATTTGCTTTCCTTAGGGACTGGAGAATAACTCAGAACAACCCGTGGACCATCTCATACTGCTTGGCTCATCAATTTCAAGAATATCCTCACATTGCAAATGGCGACATAGAAAGGACTGAAATCCAGGCCTGTTCTTCTCAGCTTATTGCTTTCTCCCTAATGCTATGAGTGGATACAGAAATTCAGCTGTTGAGCATCAGTTGATGGCCAGCCCACTCATTTCTCTGGTTTAAGACTGTTGGTGATGGGGAAAGAATTTTTATGATTTGGATGTGAAAGTTCACATGTGAGACAATGCAAGAAGGTTCAGAGGAGAAATGACTGGGTTATGAGAGTCTTAACCCAATCAGTGAATTAATCCCCTGATAGGGATTAACTGAGTGGTAACTGCAGTGGTAGGTGTGGCTGGAGGAGGTGGGAATTGGCAAGTGGCTTTGGGGTATATACTGGTATCTGGCAAGTGGGGACCTCTCTCTGTCTCTGCTTTCTGATCATCATGTGAGCTGGTTCCCTCTGCCTTGTTCTACCACCATGACGTTTAGCCTCATTGGGGCCCCTGGGGAATGAAAATGGCTGTCTATGGACTGAGATCTCTGAAACTCTGAGCCTCCCTCTACAGTTGTTCTGGTTGGGTTTTTTAGTCATAGCAGTGAAAAAGCTGACTAAAACAGAATGAACCATTTTCTCAATAAAATTTAGATTCTAAATATCAAAAAGCAATGTCTGATAAAACTGTGTTTCATATAAGTGAGGGTGGTGGATGTTTTTGTGTTAAAGACATTGTAGTAATTTCATCACCTTTACTAGGGGAGAAAAGTCATTATCAAAATTTTGATATTAAGTCACATTTTGCAGTTAAACAACTTACACAATTAAACAGCTTACAACATTGTCAATTAAGAGAAAAAAAGTAAGTCAACAACAAAGTTTGTTCAAGGTGTAGAGTTAAAATTAGTGACCAACATGCATGCATCTTAAATTTAAATAAAACCAAAAACGAAACCTCGAGTTTTTCAGTGACTTAAATAATAAAAGAATGCTTAAATATACTTACAGAAATTTCATTTTTTTATTTTAAAAGACTACCTTTAAAAAAAATCTCAAAAAACATGGCCCACACATATTTTGATTTTTCAGAGGTGACCCTGAATCAAAAACAAATCTCCAATATTTTAAGGAAAAAAATAATTAAGAAGACAGTCATTGCATTTCTACGCTATCTTTAAACCTGTAGAGGAAAGGAGAAGTATTTTGTGTACTAAGTAGATCTGTCAATAAAGTTTTCAGTGCATAATGTGAAAAATATGTAGGTAAGTGAGACAATATGTCTTATTTATCGGGTAGGACGACAAGAAGGAAGAATAGGTGGAACATAGAGGATTTTTAGGGCAGCAAAATAATGCTGTATGACAATGTCATCATGGATGCATGTCACTCCATATCTGTTGAAACGCAGAACTAAGTGAGGCACACTGGCGCAAGCCTGTAATCATAACAGCTTGGGAGGCTAAGGAAGGAGGATTGCGAGTTCAAAGCCAGCCTCAGCAAAAGTGGTTACTAAACAACTCAGTGAAACCCTGTCTCTAAATAGGGCTGGGATGTGGCTCAGTAGTCGAGTGCCCCTGAGTTCAATCTCTGGTACTCCCCCCCCCCCAAAAAAAAAAATAATCTCAGAACTGTACAACAGAGAGTAAACCTGATGTGAACTATGGACTTTAGCTAATAACAATGTATCAAAATTGGTTCATTAACAAATGTACCCTGTCAATTCGAGATATTAATAGGCGGGTTGGGAATGTAGCTCAGTGGTAGCGCCCCTTCTTAGAGGCCCTGGGTTTGATCCCCAGCACAGCAATAATAATAATAAGCTTGCCTGGCATGCACAAACCCCAAAACCACAAAAAAATAATAACATTAATGATAAAGGAAGCCAGGGGAAGGAGTGGGTGTGTGGGGACTCTACGTTCTACTCAATTTTTCTATAAATATGAACCTGCTCTTTTAATTGTAGCTGGAAAAGCAGAGGTCAGAGAAAGAGAGGATCATCTCTGTAATGTTCATAATGTGACATACCCTTCTTGTGTTAAGTAATGCAAAATCAAAATGAGAAGATTTTTTCGGCGTGCTTCCATCCTCATCTCGCACTGTGAACAAAGAAGAAAATTTAGATGGGATGACAAGACCTAACCCGGCTTTTATAGCAATAAACCCTTGAAGGTAACAGCAACCTGTCAAACCAAGCGGCATGACATAAAGGCTGGGAGCACACTGAAGTCTCTAAGGATATATAAAGTTGTTTTCCACCGTCTTTTTCTTCTCAAAGCTGCTTTCTGAATTGTAAACTTCAGGGACAATGATTTGAATTAGGATTGCACTTTACCAGTTGAACTTCCTGTCAAGCTAATTGGCCTTTTATTGCTTACAACTAGGAAGAGACAAATACACTCCTGCTATTTGGACCAGGTTAAGGAAAGTGATTATAAAAATAAACCCATGAGCCAGAAATCAGCTGTGACAACCTGCACTTACCTGCCACTATATCTTTAATTTGCTCAGAGTCCCACCCAGTCCCTGCACAAGTGCAGAGAAGAACTCCAATAAACCATCCAAGGGTGACTGCGTGGCTAGACTGCATGCTGAGGACATCAGAGGCCATACAACGGAAATTCCAGCATAATAAAGTCCTTATTCAAACCAGATGCATGTGTACCTTTATTCCCAGTGTTAATGTGCTGTGTTTAATAATCTGGTATCACAAATTCTCCTGAAATGCATCACAAAATACTTAGTTTGATACTTCCTTTAATTGAAAATAACTGTATCTAAAGAGAACACAGAGGAGAACTGGAAAAAAATTAAAGTCCCAAAATTTGTCATGAAATATATATACAAACACTTATGTGTGTTTGTGTGTGTGTATGCACACACACACACAATTGAGAACTTCCTAAAAAATAACTTTGTAATAAACATGCATATAATTATTTAAAAATTAAATAGTAATAATTTTTATGGTAGTCTTTATTGTGGTAAAATGTATGTAACATAAGGTTTACCATCTTAGCAATTGTAAGTGTACAATTCAATGGCATTAATTGTATTCACGCAGTTGCACAACCATCCCCACCATCCACCTCCAGAACCTTTTCATCTTTCCCAACTGACACTCTGCCCCTAAACATGAATTCTACATTCCCCCCCCCCCCAGCCCCTGGCAACCATCCTTCCACTTTCTGCTTCTGTGGGTGTGCTTATTCTGAGTCCCTCACGTAAGTAGACTCACAAGGTGTTTGCCTTTTTGTGTTTGGCTTATTTCACTTAACGTAATGTCCTCAAGGTCTATCCATGTTGTGCCATGTGCCAAAATTTCCTTCCTTTTAAGGATGAAAATAATATACTACTATAAAACTTGAAAGAAAAGCAAATCTTCCTCATTCCATTACCTCACCACTCACTCTTACTCCCTAGAGAGAATTACCTTAATTATTTTAGTCATTTCTGCTGATATTTAATCCCATACAACTAAATAATGTCACAATTTTATGACATATGATTTAGGTGTAAACTATTCACTTCCTGTTTGGGTAGAAGAGAATTAAGCTGTTTTATACCCTTCTTATCCTATCTTTCCCTTATAGTTAAATCAATATTCAGTTATTGTATTATTAGGATCAGGTAAATATCACTCACTGTTGTTAGGTGCAGGACAGGCTGAGTAGGTTGTCTGCAGGGCATGCCAAACAAAGCTGCAGGATGACCTGGCTTCTCAAACCCTCTGGCTGGTTCTTTATCACCTGTTTGCTTCAAGCCCAAATGCCCAAGCCCCCGCTCAAGGCTGAAAACTCAACCAGCTGCTCAAGGCCAAACACTTAACCCCCCTTGTGCCAACAAGGCAGCTTGCAGACCCAGAGACCCCATTAGATTTGGACTATAAAAACTCCCTCCTGCTGGGCCTCTCTCTCTCTCTCTCTCTCTCTCTCTCTCTCTCTCTCTCTCTCTCTCTCCCTCTCCCTCTCCATCTATCCTCTTCTCTTTCCTCTTCTCCCACCCTTCTTTCTCTCTCTCTCTTTTTCTCCTCTTTTGCACTGCTGCAATAAAGCTCTCTTGGTTGCTCCGAGTGTTGTGGTCACTTTCCTTTCAACTGTTGAGCCAAATATTTCTATGATTATCTTCCCTTCCCATACAACAATATTTTGGGGAGTGGGGAACACTAGGGATTGAACCCCAGGGGTACTTAGCCACTGAGCCACATCCCCAGCCCTTATTTGTATTTTATTTAGAGACAGACAGGGTCTTGCTGAGTTGCTTAGGGCCTTGCTAAGTTGCTGAGGCTGGTTTTGAACTCTCTATCCTCCTGCCTCAGCTTTCTGAGCCACTGGGATTACAGGTGTGCGCCACCACAGCCAGCTGCAACAATTCTTTTTGAATGAGTAATTACTTCATTTTTATTGGGTTACTTTCCACACACTATTACTAGTTACCAAACACCAACAAGTTATGTCACTTTCCCCACCATTGATTACATCAGATAATGTGTTCATTGCACCCCCAGCCCCTCCATGGCCTCCCTCCTGGAGCCTCTGCCTTCCATCTGTGCTCCTGGATGAGCTTGTTGTATGGACTGACGCTACAATTTCCTTTGTAACTTTCCTTAGTCAGATTCCCTAAAAATTCAGGTTTCCCTTTTCTGGTCACTCCATTGTTTTAATAGCACACATTCTTTTGAGTAAAGATTGATGTAAAGTAAATATTGTTAAATATTTGCATGCCTGAAAATGTTTTATCTTTAAATTTGATCATTTGAAAGGGCATGACAAGGAGCCAGGCACAATGGCACAGGCCTGTACTCCCAGTGACTTGGGAGGCTGAGGCAGGAGGATAACAAGTTCAAGACCAGCCTCAGCAACTTAGTGAGGCCTGAGCAACTATGCAAGACCCTGTCTCAAAATAAAAAGGGCTTGGGGTGTGGCTCAGTGGTTAAGCACCCCTGGGTTCAATCCCCAGTGCCAAAAAAAAAAAAAAAAATCCCAAGGTCATGATATTATCATATTTTATCTGATGCTTGCATGTAATGGGTCCCCTTCCCCTACACACTTCTATTAAAAGGACAAAGCTACAACAAATCCAGTTTTGCAGATTTTTCTTAATGATTTTTCTTAATGATTCCAGAATCTATCAGCAGTCTGGATCAAAAAATGGTTCAGAATGTCCCCCACCTCACCATACGGGAGGTTATACTAGAGAAAAAGAAGTGATGTACAGAAAATGGAAGTGATTTACAGAGAAAGCCCATTGGTTTCAGCTTGCATGTGCCTTACATGAACACAGCTGGAACTGGCTGCTTGTGATTCGTTGAACTTCAATGCTTGGTACGAGACCCAACTACTCATGCAATACTTACTTGCTTGTTCACACATCAGCTTAGGGTATGGTTCCCTGTGTACCAAGAAACCTTTAAAACAAACTTAAAATGCATAAAGTCAGATTTCAACCAAACTTCACATTTCCCTGGAAGCTTTTAGGATCTCATTTTTAACTCTGATATCCCGAAATTACATTCTTTAGTTTGAGTCTTTTTTTTGATAACTATATCAGCCATAGTTAGAAATTCCCACATTCTCATTCTTGGAAGGTTTTGTTTTATTATTATTAAAAACCCCAGACTCTACAGGAGCTATGCCTTTTTTCCTGAGAGCTGGTCCATTTGGTGCCTGTACTGGGTATCTATACTCTCACTCTTTCTAATAAACTCCTGTCTGTACTCTGTGCGACTTGATGAAACCCCTCCTGTGGGATCACAAGCATCAGTGCATGAGAACCCCTGAGATCACTTCGGTCCAGAGTTCAGGTCTCTAAAACACTGATACCTCATAAAAGAAGATATATTAGATGGCAAATAAGCAAATGAAAATATAATATCATATGTCATCAAGGAATGGCAAATTAAAATAACAATGAAAAACCCAAAACACCGACAACATCAAATGCTGACAAGAATGTGCTGGTGGGGATGCAAAACAGTGCAACCACTTTGGAAGAGTTTGGCACTTTCTTCAAAGACCAAATGTGCTCTTAGCATCTGAGTCAACAGTCACACTCCTTAGCATCACCCAAATGAACCGAAAGCCTATGTTCACAAATCAATCTGCTTACAGATGTTTATAACAGCTTACTCATTAATGCCCCAAACTTGGAAGCAACCAAAATGTCCTTCAATAGGTAAATGAATAAGTAAACTATGGCACATCCAAACAAGAGAATATTTTTTCAGTGCAAAGAAGAAAATGAGTTATCAAGCCATGAAAAGGCATGAAGGAAATATAGATGCATATTAGTAAGTGAAAGAAGCCAATTCAAAAAAAGGCTACATACTGTGTGATTCCAGCTCCAAGGCATTCTAGAAAAGGCAAAATTATGAAGACAGTTGATGAATCAGGGATTTCCAGGGGCTTGAAGGAGGGAGCGATGAACAGGAGGAACTCAAGATTTTTAGGGCAGAAAAACTATTCTGTTAGATGATACTATAATAATAGATACATGTCATTTGTCCAAACCTACAGAATATGTGTAACAAACACTAAGAGTAACCATAATGCAAAATGGACTTTGGACAATAATAATGTGTCAGGGTAAATTCATTGATAGATCAACAGGATGTTGACAACGGAGAAAAGGCAGTGGCAGGAGGTATTGAGAACTCTGCTCAGTTTTGCTCTGAACACAAAATTCTCTAAAAAGTGAAGTATTTTTTTAAAGTAATAAATTGTTTTTGAACAAATTTGTCAGACTTAATGAAGTTGACCCCAGGTATTGATAGAGGATTGACTCCAAGTCTCCCTCCCCTGACACTCATCTACCTGCCATAGATGCCAAAATTTGAGAATGCTCAAGTCCCTTATATATAATGATGTAATATTTGCCTATAACCCACACGCATACTCCTATGTGTTCCGACTCATCTTTAGACCACTTTTAATAACTAATACCATGTAATGCTATGTAAATTGTTTTATTGTAGGGGTTAATGACAAGATAAAGGTCTGTTCTCGTATAGTAAAGACAATTTTTGTCCTAAATATTTTTGGTCCTCGGTTGGTTGAATGCAAGGATTTGGAACTCTTGGATCAGTGAGGTTCAC